GGCAGAGTTCAGATGTCCTGACTCTCATTCTTGGGCTCCTACACTAATGTAAACTGGATTAGTCTTTTGGGATAAGTCTGAAAGGGTACACAACTGCATTCTTTGTGGACAAAATAACTCGATAAATTATGTTAAATCACTCCAGGAGTAGATAAAAACAAAATTCTACCCTTGTTGAGAATTTGCCTTTGAATCCCTCTGAAATGGATTAGAATGTTTTGTTAGGATATAAGAAATATATAAACCCAGAAATGGTACATCTCACATTTTTAAAAATACATAACTTCTCCTGAGACTTTTTTACATTGAAAAAATTCACTTTACTACTGCATTCTAAGGTTTGCAGCTTTAAATGCCATGGCATCTGAGTCTAACTTCTTACTGGTGATATTTGCAGTTATCATTTCCCATTGTCATCCTCTCCCATTTCCTTTGTTTTGTTCCACAGATATGATTTGATGAATGAGGGCTTTTCGATCCTTCAAGATATATTTTGGTGAACTGGTTCGATAACTTGTTATTGAAAAGCAAAATCCATCAGGGACATATTTGCCTACTTCCTCTAAAAAGAAATCTTTCATAGAGATCAACTGTTCATTCATCAGTCATGTCATGTTTCTGTGTGTTATGAGGACATATACACATTTTTTGTTAAATGTTTCCATAAAAGTATTCAACCTAAAAAGCCAGCTTCAAGACTTCTTCTAAAATCTGGAAGTTAAATAAATGACTTAATCCACATGATAATATGCACAATATAATTCAAATTTGCAAAGCCTCTGTCTTCAGTGCAAATTACAGAATAAGTTGCGGGCCAGACTCCAAGAGGCCATAGGAAGGAGCAAGGAGTCTGAGTTTAGAGATGCCCTTTTATATCACAACAATATGATCTCCTATTTCTCAGCTGAGCCCTCCCTTTCATCTCTCTGAAAGTTCTTGATGAAACTTTGGAGTCATACCCCTGACTTCCTTGAGAGCTATTTATGTGGTATCATTCAAGCCAACTGCCCATTGCAGAAGCCAGATTCTTTATTTGAACTTAGTCTAATTTTTTGCATTCCTGGGAAGGTTTTTAGTTCATTTGCATGAACTCAAATTAACTTTAACTAAAATTAAAGTTTACATCTCAAACACTGGGAGTTACAATGAAGAACTGCTGCATGCCCACATCCCCATATACTCTCATCACTCTTGGGCCATACATTTTATCGTTTTTTTTTCTGGTCATGTTACAGCCATATCAGACATAAACATTGTCATGTTCCTTCTTGGCACTAACGCAGAAGATTCAGTGAGACAAAAGGAAAAGTTTGCTTTCTGTCTGCTCTATATGTTATTAATATTCAATAATGATATTCAGCTGGACTCTTTTCTTCCATGCGACAGATACACTGTATTATCTTTTCCCCTTGAAAATGTAGTTTGAATGCAGCTGCTGTCTTTTCCACCAAAGCATTTGGCATCTGTCTTCCCATCTAGCTTAATATCAAAATCATCTGGAAAACTTTGAAAAAAAATATATGTCTTGAGTACATAGGTCTGGGGTGACACTCTGGGATCTGTTTTCTGTAAAGCTCCACCAGTGAGTCTTACGATGAGCCAGGTTTGGGAACCATTGCTCCAAAGCATCCGTGTCCAGAGTCCCCGAGACCACCCCCAGATTTGATGATTCACTAGGAGGACGTACAGGACTTAGCATGCAGTTGCACTCGTGGCTGGAGTGAATCACAGCAAAAGGATATACAGCAAAATAAGCAAAGGAAAAAAGGCATGGGGGGGTGAAGTCCAGAGGAAACCAGACACAAGCTTCCAAGAGTCCTCTCCCCGCGTAGTCACTCAGGATGTGCTTAATTTCTCTGACATTGAATTGTGACAACATATATGAACTGATGTCCATCAGGAAACTCATTAGAGACTCAGTGTCCAAGATTTTTATTGGTGACTGCTCAAATAGACAACCTCTGCCTGGCATATACCAAAATTCCAGACTCCCGGAAGGAAATCAGACGTTCAGCATAAATCACTTTGTTTGTACAACAGTTTAGGCACATTAAGCCACTCCTTACCAGGTAGGCAGTGCTGGGAACCCTCCCAGAGTCCAAGCTCCCAGATACCCAGCCACAGGCAACCTTGCAAACAGGCCTTTCTAAAGACAGCAGTCTCCGACCTACTATGTTATCTTTTCCTGTATAGTTGTGTAGGAAAAAAAGTAAAAGGTAGTTTGGTCAAAAGTATGTTAACCAAGTTTTGGTATTGGGTAGGAGGAGAATTTCTGGTTGAAAATGGAGATTCACATGATAAGATATGAAATACTATTTCTTGAAAACCTTAACAATAAATTCACCTGTCCTAACGTGAGTAAAAAGCAGGCCATGAACTCAGAGTCTGGATCATCCACCTCTTCAAGACCTTTTAACCCTTGGCTCTAGCCTTCACTTGGAGAAGAACAGAGAGCTGGCTGGCAAGTGTAGATGTCCTCAAAGATCACAGAAACATTGGACCAACTGTAGCTGCTCACTTACTTCTTATGTTCTATTCCCTTTTCCTGTTTTCCAAATGAGATTGCATTTGCTCCAATTTCTGGAAAGGCACAGTTATAAGTAAGGAAGTTGGATAGTCAAAGCCTGTATCATAGCCAAGTCACTGAAAGCTGTGAATCACGTGACTCCACTTCAAGTCCCCAAAAAGAAATCATAATTTTGAAGTTCAACCTCACAGGCCACCAGGAATATTCTTAGGCATTCGTTTTATGTTAGCAACACTTTGTATGACACTTTAATTTTCTGAAGCCAGAGGCATCTCCCTGCATCTACAACCTCCCAAGATTACCTGGTAGAATAGAGCTGTCTGCTTTCAGGCTGGTGGATGACAAAATCAAAGGGGAGAGAAGATTGTTTGTTCCCCAATTTTCCATCTGGGAAATTTCCAGATAGAGAATCTGAGCATTTCATTATTCAACTTGCACATTTTCTTCCTTCTAAACAATTAGGCTTTCTTTTATGTTTGTTTATGCCTGTTTACTTTTATTCAGTTCACTTATTCAGGTGAATAGTGAAACAGCCTGTCCCTTGCACAAAACTTTTCGTGAATTTAATAATGAAAGTCATTATCACTCAGTCTTGCTTTTCAAGATGCAAAAGCTCCTTCTTATTAGACTTGTTTTCCATTATTTTAATTACCTATCATTTTTCTCTCTTTTCCCATTTTTGTACATATTTCTTAAAAGCATGGGCCAAAACTGGACTCACTGTTTTTCAATCCAAATATACTGCAGTCTGATATATTTCTCAATTCTTTATAAAAACTTGAAAATTATATGTAATGTAATGTATCTATTTTAATAATAAAAATAGATAAGAATCAATTTTAAAAATGTATATGTTTTAAGAAGCAAGGATCTTTGGCAGTAAATAGACTGACAAAAATTCACTATGGGCCAGTTGCTAAGAACTGCTCTCTGTGTGTGAGGGTAATGCACAACATTGAAGCAAGACCATGTCTTGGTTTCAAACTCTCCCTAACTACAGATTTCTATACTTGTCACTATACTTGCCTGGCACCAAAAGCTCATACTATACTTTTCTTCCAATGGTATTCCCCTACACTGCTACTCATTTTCAGCTTGAAATCTACTGTAATCTCAAGTTCTTTTCTGCTATGCTCACTTCTCCTTCTCTTTCCTTTGAAATGAACCATCTGTCACTTACTTGTTATTGAATGTCTTCCTATATCTATATGACTTCCTATATTGAGACTATTGCTATTCTCAATATCAAGGTGATTAAAAATTACATTCCCATGACTTAGAATATTCCCAACCCCACCTAGTTCCATGTCCTTTGGAAATTTGATGAGGGTAGTCTTGATATTTTCACCCAAGAAATGAATATTTTGGATAAAGTGAGTCTTGGGACTGCTCTGGGTAGGTAGGGTATGTGGGACAGATTTAGAATAAGAAGATTTTTTACCGAGAACTCTGATGAAATAGCCTTCATAAAGTGCAGAGTAATACAAAATCCAAGAGTTGGTTTTTATCCCCCAAAGTGTATTCTCAAACTGTAAAAAATACCACCTCAACAAAAACAAAAGAGAATTTCAATACAATAAAGAAGGCTTTGATGAGAATCTATTTTTTGAGAACTGGCTCTTTCAATATCACTAGGCCCAATTGTATAACTGCAAGGCAAGAGTGGTACAGTGATGTCAAAGAAAAACATTGACTGTGTCACCAGTGTTTACTATTTACTTGGTAAAAATTGTAGGGTTGGTGTATGGGGTTGGGGGAGGGAGAGAGAGAGAAAGAGAGAAAGAGGCAGAGAGAGAATGTATATATGTACTATCTGGAGTGGGGGGAACATGAGGATGGAAGAGTGTGAGTCCAGTGAATTCACACTATGATATATACCTTTTCCAAGTGGGATCTTATAACATTCATTCTATGAATGACCACTTGACTTGGTGGGTAGCCAACATGGTATATTTATTTCACAGTTCCACATCTTTACAGTTATCCTTACATAATGCTTACATGGGGTTTCAGAGCAGATATTTCCTTTAAAAAATTTTTTTTTAAAAAAAATCATAAATATGATTGAATCATACAACCACATTCCACCTCTTCTGACCCAGCCATTCCCATTAGATATGTGTTGTTAAAAGATCAGGTGAGCAAACCTATAGAAATGGAATTGTGATAAGTATCATAATGGGAAAATGAATGAGGGCCTATGAGTATGGAGAATTACAAAAGAGAAACCCTCTTCTAAAGCCATGGCTTATTTCTGAAAGGAAGAGTAAAACCATGCATTTATTAGAAAAGGGAGCTAAGGAATTGAAGATGTTGAGATTCTTTAAAATATTGGAGGCTGAATTGGAAGCTTTACCCTGGCACACTTGCAAATCATCACCTTTGGTGCTGTTGGCTGAGTTTGGCCAAGGAGCAGGGAGAGACGCACACTTGTGCTTCTTACGTTAGGGTGAAGCTGGCTGGCCTTGGAGAGCATAGGTTCTATGACATATTCCATTGTTACTCAGAAAATTCGGACTCAGGCCCAACATTCTTCTGCTCATGCAGGACATGACACTCAAAATAGTCCGGCTAGAAGGATCGAGGATCTGAGCAAGGCCAAGCTTACTTGAGCTAAGCCACTTGTTCCTGGGTAATGCAGTGTGTTAGCTAATCAGCATCATTCCTGGTCATTAGAGCATAAGGATGAAAGCTCCTCTTGGAAAGATGCAGGGGGTCTGCTGCTGGGAAAGTGCTGCTCAGGGCTAGAGTAGCAGAAATGACAGAATGACAGGGATTCTCGACCATGTCAACCAGGTATTTTTAGTACTTCCTTAGCATATGAGTAAAGGCAGCTAGAAAATGAGCTTGATTCTGCAAGTCTTCATGGCAACAGTCCATATTAAGACTCCTAGAATAAGTTTTAAAAAAATTCTTCAATTTCTATCTGTGATGTGAGAAAAAGGCTTTACCATTGTTTAGGACTGATGTGCATATAAAGTAAAACGATAAGACATGTATAATGGAGGAATAAAGCCTCAGACTCCTTCCAGTCTGGGGAATCCATTTTATCTTAGAAATAAGAGATTTATGTTTTATATTATTGATTCACTAACTTTTTCTTTACTTACATTTGATTCTCAGTGATAGGGCTTATGGAGTTTGGGGACAATTCTGCTGTGGTATTAAATAATACCCCTTATTAAAAATACAGCTTGGCATTGAGTTAGTGCAGTGACTCCCAGTGAATTGATATAAGCCCACATTTCATTTTAATCAAAAACAAAAACCTAGAAAATGTTACTCCCTAAATAGGCAACAATATATTTTCTAAGTGCTTCAGACATTTAGTACGTAACACGTATGATTAATTTAGAAACAACCCCTGACACTTGAAGGTTACCCAATACATGTAATGGTACCCTCCCTATTATTTTATGTGAGGTAAATGCAGACCAGGGAGCCACTGAGGAAATAGTCCTGGGTAGGTTTGTAATCTTGGGCTCCACAGGGATGTCCTTGGTGCAAGAGCAATGGACTGATGTTTCTATTACAAGATCCCATAATGCTAGGACTTCTATACAGCTTAGAATAATGGTTAGGGTCCATTCTTTTAGGAGACATAGTCAAATGTTATTTCAGTCACTTGTAGCACCATTGGGTCAAGGTGCACACTTGGCCTAGAATACCACTTACATCACTACGTTGTTCTGTTGAAGACCTGTGGCATGCAAACAATTGAACGCCATCTCAAAAATACATATAGTATGCCCAGTAAAATACATTGGCTAGCATAAAAATCAAAGGAAAGAGTAGTTTGGAATATCGATCAACATTGCTGGGGTTTTGAATTGTGAAATAATCAACAATCCTGCCCATCTTTTCTCGGAAGACAAACTTGAACTTGTCACTGGTTTTCATTGTCAAGTCGCTATAGTCTACGTTATTGCCGGAAATTTCAATGCTGGCAAAGCTGATCTTCCGTTTAAAGCTGGAGATGGAACTGTTGATGATGTTAGTAATATTGACTTCTTCCACTTCCTTCGCTGTCGCCTGGTTCATAGACAATGCAGTTAGCTTAAAAGACTTGACTCAGCAAGATAAATAAGTGGGTAATGAGCTAATAAAAAGTTTAGAGGCCTCAGTATTGAATAATTAGGTTTAATAGAGAGTGGCATTGAGTGCCTCAGAAATTGGCTGGTAAGCCAGAGTTGGAGTTCTGTTACCCTGATTGTAGGCACCTATCCAGATGCAGGTTGCCAACATGTGTAACAGAACGAATAACCATGGCCCGCTCTCAACATGCAGAGCGGTGCGCTAGATGCCAAACGCACAGGCTTTGAAGCTAGCAGACCTGGGTTCAAATCCCTTTCTGTCTCTCACTATGATGAAACTTTAGTCACCTTAATCCCTTTAAGACTCAGTTTCCTTGTCTGCCAAATGGTGATGATATTATCTATCTCCTGAGACTGATGGGAAGATTAAATGGTATAAATTATGTGAAACATCTAGTAGGTGTTTGACAAGTTTTAGTCTGTTCCAAGGAGAAGGGAGTGACTGATTATGGAAGATAATAAAAATTAGCTATGTCCTGAGGCCTCTGCCATGCAAACAGAAAGAGTCTCACTCCCTGCAATCCCCAGGAGCTGCCATTCTCCAACATGGCTGGGGTGACGCAGAATGTGGGAGTGTAGTAAAGTCAGAGAGAGTGTGAGTTGGGTCCTTGGCCAGGCCACTGACTAGGTGTGGGGTCTGGGATGAGTTAGCTCACATCTCTGAGTGGCAGATTCCACAATAGTAAGGTTGGGATAATAATGGTACCCATTTCATTGGGTTGTTGAGTGGACTAAAGGAGACGTTGGTAGGTGTGGAGGGTACAGCAAATACTCTGTAGCGCAGCTATTATCATACACACACCAAAATAAGGGCTTTCTAGTGTCTTCAGTGGAGGCTCTCAGTAATTCACCAACCTCCTTTTTACCAATCTAGTAAATCCAGATTTTGGGGGGTAATTCAACTTCCTTCCTTCCCCTTAGGGAAGCCTATGGGGAGCAAATAAAATGAAGTTCACATTATTCTTAGGCTGACACTCGTGATGATCTGCCTTTGGTGTGTGGGTGATATGACTGTGTATATCTTTGCTCATCATAGCCAAACCCAAGGGGAAAAGTAGCTGAGTCTTTGGCTATTCTCATCCCTCATTCCACACTATTAGACCCTGTGTGGTCCTAACACTTAGATAAAGGTGGGCACCGCTTCTGAATCGGATCCCTGTCATGTTCTCACCTGTTAGCATGAGCTTTGGTATGACAACATCTATCAAATTTGGCTGCCAAGTAACCCCAGGGTTCCATGGGCCTGCAGAGAGCAGTAGGTAAGAGCATGGCCCAGTGCCCATCGCAGGTGGGAATAACAAGTAGATGTCAGGCTTTGGAAAGCAGATTTAGGTTGGGATCCCAGCTCTACCTCTTACTACCTGTATCCCCTGGGATAAGCCACTTGTCCTTCATGTTCCTCAGACTCCACAACTGTAAAAATGGAGATAACAACCTCACTAAATTGTTATGAGCATTTTAAATGATATAATATTTGCAAATGGTTTGTTATGATGTCTGGCACATGTAAATGCTTGATAAATAACAACCATTATTATTATTTAGAGAGCTGGACCATGGCATTCCACTGCTAAATCAAATAATGACAGTCTTTCTCAATTAGTAGAAAAATATGCTAACCAAGAAATTTGTCACAATCTAATTTTTCCATACATTTTTCAGTAAACCATTACTCGTATAATTTAAGAATACAAGAGTGAAACAGAAGAATTAAATAGCAAATACATATTAATCTTAAAATTATAAGCAGCTGATCACGTTGGGTTTGATACTGGACTTTTCATGGATGCTTGTTTTTGTGGTTGTGGTTTTATGTTGCATATGGATAACAGTTATTTTCTGCTGGAAAATTTAACCTATTAATATCTCATTGTATTTGGTTAAATGAATGGTCTTTTTTAAGGGGCACCATGACATTCAGATGTGCCCACCTGAAACAGGATGAGACTCGCTGGAGCAGAGTGAACCACTGGGGAGCAGGAACCGGGTCCAGCTCACCTCTGCAGACCAACCCATGGCACAAGTGATGGGTCATACCCAGGGCCGTTAAATTCTTACCCTATCTTTGGCTGCCATCTGCTGTAAGGAGCTGTAGTGAGCAACTGCGTATTCCAGTAAAGCCCCAAACACGAAGCTGAAGCAGATCCCCAGGTACACATCGATGGCCTTTATGAAGCAGTTGGTGTTGGGAAGAGAAGTGCGGGACCCGATCATCAGTGTGGTCATTGATAACACGGTGGTCACTCCTGGGAAAACAGGCAGGAAATGTTCCCACGTCAGTGGCCAAGAAACCCTCCACCATTTCCTAGCCGAGTGACTCCATTCAGGAGTTGGTAGCATGAGGACAGGATGCAGAAATGGAACGTATCTCATTTTGAAAAATCTAAAAACTTCTGGAACAGGGTTGATTTGTCCATTCTGTACAGATTACGAGTGATGTGGCTCTCTAAATGTTTTGCCTTCTATCTTCTCCTTGGAGGGGATGGTCAGTACACAAAGTAACTGACAATGGACCATCTGACCACAATTATCCCTTACCTATCACTATGAAACATAAGTTTAAAAATGCGCTATTCCTAACGTAGTCTCTCTCTGCCTCTCTCTCTCTCTTTCTCTTTCTTTAAAAGAATTTCTCAAGAAACCAATTCTTGGAACTTACTCTGTGACTATCAATGAAAACAAGGATAGAAGTGGAAAAAAAACAAGTACCTGATAACCCGGTTCTTAGAAATCTGTTGGAGCTGCTTACCAATGCAGGTTCTTGCAGGAACTGAATCGAGGGAGATCCAAAACGAAACCCAGGATAACACCACCAGGAAAGTGGAAGGAACGTAGGTTTCCAAAATGAAATACAGGACATTCCTTCGAAGCTCAAATTGCAAAACCAATCGCGTATAATTTCCTGATAGGGTAAACAAGAGATAAACAAGAGTCTTGTCTGTGCACACAGCAGAGTGGTTTCCCTATGGGATGTTTAACATAGCTATATGCACATGAAGCCCTCTGTCATTCTCCAAAATCTGGCTAATTATGAACCGTCATTATGGTTTCCACAAGAGACACTGCTATTGCATCGAATAGGATTTATAAGGGTGCTGCTCCCCCATTTGCCTCCTTCTTCTTGTGCTTTTCTCTATCACGGTATTCCTACAGCATTGTAACTACTGGCTTCCTTGACCTCTACCCCACTAGACAATGAATCCTGCATGCAAAGTAGTTGTTCAGTGAATACCTATTTGATGAAGATGACCTGAGGCCATCCATTTTTCAAGATACTATGGAATACACCTAGGAGACCTATTCAATACATTTTAATTTTTGAGGATTTTAGAGGCACCCCAGATTTTATGGTACTTCAGGGATATCCTTAGGAAACTAGCCATGTAGTCTGGAGGTGGGGAAGTTATGTGATGGACAGTTATCATAATAGAACACCGTGTGGCAAATACGCTACTCTAGCACAAAGCATGTGCAGGGGTAGGGTTCCAAGCCATGCTCCTGCAGTCCTTCTAGTAAGGGAGGTGAGCAAGTGGCAGACAGAGCAGTAGTGGCCAGACTAGCTTGGTGGAAGGATGAAGAGGTTTTCCTCTGGGAACAGGAGAAGTCTGGCTCAGAGTGGAGTAGGAGAAAAACAGGACAGTGGATGACAGCTGCCCCAACCCCATGCCACCCCCACATTGATGCCTGGAATCTAAAAGTATACGATTAGATAGCTAAACAACAGAAATATTACTGAAGAAATATAGTACAGAATAAAAATATGTAATTTTAGAGCCTGGTGGGCCCCTAGTGATAACTTACTGTTTTACTTTATTAGAGGAGAAATTGAGACACAGGAGTGTTAGACCCGAGTACAGTCCTGTGGATGATGCTGGAAGCAAGCGTAAACCAGGGCTTTGCCCTTTGGTCCAGGGATGTGCTATCAGTCTGCACTGCTTGCTTTATTCTCTCAATTTTGAAAGTCAATGTTTGAAAAAAAAAAAAACCACTTAGAAACAATATTTGACTAAATGATAACATTCTTCAGTAATTAAAGTACGCATGTGCCTCCTGGAATTAAGTAAGTCTGAAAACTGAAGCCATTTTTTTTCATGAACCCAAATTGGGAGTCCAGGTTTGGTAAACTGTGATGACATAACCTTAATTTACAAACTTGTTTTTAAAATGTGAAGTGTTACTTATTTGTTCATTATAAAAGTAATACACGGTAATTAGTTAAAATTTCTAATTTTTATGTAGTTGTGACCTTGGTGTACATATGATTTTTAATATCTAGGCTCAACTAAAATACACAGTACTGTTTTTCAGGGTGCATATGTTGATGAGAATAAGAGTTCTTAATATTATCATGAGGAAGTGAGAAGAAAATGCCAACTGCTTATGTATAAAATTGCATCTTTTAGAAGATCTCCATCTAAAAATGCCAAAGACTAAGAGATTTGATGCTGGTAAATGAAGTGAACAAGTAATTCTTCCTGCCAAGCTTGCAATAGTTACGGTGTTCCTACTCTCATTGGGTCTTGCTACTGTCTTCTTCATCTGTGAGCTGTGTTCTTAGCTTTATTCTTTGGTGGCAGAGAACCAGTGCTCCAGTTAGAAACATGAGTACATTTTATGCATGACGAAGGCACGGAATTTGAGCAATCATTAGAAAATAGTATCTGGAGATAAATCGTGTTAGGCTTCCGAGCTGGTCTGGAGGTCTGCTCGCCAGTGGATAATCTCAATACTAAGGGTGGAGCTGGTAGAAGAACGGAACCCAAACTCAACTCCCTGGCTCCACTGGACCCCGAAGAGGTAAAGAGGAGAAGAGATGATATTTCTGACTTATAGAGCCACCCTCTCTCTCGGGCTGCTTATTTTTATTTTGTGCAATTCATCCCACCAGTTTACCTGTCTCCTGCTGCGATCTGGTGACTAAGGTGAAATACCGCTGTATGGTGTACTGAGCAAGCCGCAGGTTTTCCAGCCCACGCACAGAGTCGTTGCCTCTCAGCCAGGTGAACTCCACGTCGGTTCCGTCATAGCCCCCTGGCAAATAAAACGGAGACAGTGCAAGGACGCTGCAGTTTGAACTGGTCTGGAAAATGGTACAATGTGGAGACAGCACGAGCTCTGTCTTGATGGCAGTTAAGTCCAAGGATGATCCCATCCAAACCTTGGCACGATTTCTCAAGTGCAATGGCCGTGTCTGTTCAGAATGAAGCGACTTGCTAGGACTATTTGCCATCAATTGAGAACTGGTCCTGTGCTAAGTATTGTGTAGATCTGGTGGATGATACGTCTTTAGAAGTGGACTCCTTCATAATTTAAACTACATTTATTGAATGTGTATCTGTGAACACACAATGGCTAATGCTTGACACTGCCTTGCAAGACTGCCTACACAAGCTCTGCTGGTGTTTTCAGGGATTTTAGAACTTAACTTGTTCATATTTCGGCAGTGGCATAGATGCAAAAACAAAAACAAAAAACTTTCAGCTAGTTGCCTTATGGATGTCTATAAATGTATGTTTAATAAATCTCAAAGCAGTTTAATTAATAGATGACAGCAACAATAGTTACCTTTTATTAAACATTTATGTTAGTCCTTTATGCATTATGTTGCTAAGGTTCTTGCAATAATTTCTATATTTCTTCAATTCCAAGATGGACTTTTTTTTATATTTTCTGAAATTGATGGATCTTACAGTTGATTTATACATAAAAAGTAGAGCTTTTTTTTCCTAAAACATTATTATTCAATAAATGCTATTCCTTAGGATTGATGAATTATAATGATTTTCACACTTTATTCTGAAAACTCTCAGATTCAGGGAGGTTGTCTAACTTTCTCAGGATAAGGCAAGCAAGAAACAAAACAAGCACTGTATCTCAGATGATAATAATATTATCTGTCATTTAGTAAGCAATTACATTTCTAAATGTTTCACAACATTATCGTATCATTTAATCCTCAAAATATCTCTTTGAGAAGATATATGAATGGTTCGTAAGCATATAAAAAAGTGCTCAATATCATCAGTCCTTAGGGAAATGCCAATCAAAACTATGACAAGATGCCTCACACCCATTAGAATGGCTACAATAAAAAAGACCGACAATGACAGATGGCCAGAACATGGAAAGCCTGGGACATTACTGGTGGGAATGTACAGTGGTACAATCACTTTGGAAAACAGTAACAGTTCAGCAGTTTCTTAAAAACTTACACATAAATTTACCATTTGACCCAGTCAGTATTCCACTCCTAGGTATTTGCCCAAGAGAAATGGAATCATGTCCACACGAAGACTCGTACATCAATGTTTACAGCAGCATTGTCAATAATAGCCAAAGGTGGAAACAAGCCACATGTCCATAAGCTCATGAATAAATGAATAAAATGTGATATACATTCATACGAAGAAATACTACTCAGCAGTAAAAGAAATGAAGTACTGATACATGCTACAACATGTATGCACCTCAGAAACATTATGCCAAGTGAAAGGGCCAAACACAAAAGACCACGTATCATATTGATTTCATTTATAGGAAACATCCAGAAAAGGCAAATTCATAGAGACAGAAAGCAGAAGAGTGGTTGTGTGGGAGCTGTTGGTGGGAACGGGGAGTGACTTCAAATGGGCACAAGGAGTCTCTCTGGGGTGACAGAAATGTTCTAACAAGGGCATGTGGTGATGGTTGTACAACTCAGTAAATTTACCGAAAATCTTTGAATTATACACTTACAATGGATGAATTTTATGGTATATAAATTATACTTCAATAAACCTGTTAAAAATTAACTCTTTGAGTCAGATACTATTATTTTTCCCACTTCGCTGATGAGGAAACCTGAGGTCCAGGGAGGTTAGTTACTTACCCAAAATCACACAGCTAGTGATGGGATTCCAGTACCTGTGATCTTAAACACAAACCTATATTGCCTTTGTTTTCAAAGGCTACTGGGAAATGTGATGATAGAGCTGGGACTAACATTTTGTTAAGTCTCAGCTATGGCACCCACTGTTTAGCAGGGGTTATTTCTCCTTCCATGGGGCAGAGAAGTAGTCATGAGCTCTTAGGGGATCTCCAGGTAAAAATTATCTGTGGGCTGTCCCTTGGAAGCCCCCAAAAGGTACTGAAGCTAGCTGTCTGCATAGGCCTATGATCTCAAAGAAATAAAAAAAAAAAATCTACAAAAGTGAGTAGCACAAGTTCCTACACTTCGCTTTTACAACTAGTAAATGCTCACAATCGTTACATTATCACCTCTCTGTCCCTGAGTGAATATGGGAAGTTGTGCAATGGTATCAATTCTTTTCTAGGGATGGCGTTTAGAAAAAATCCTTAGCGAGGTTTCTATACCCCCAGACTGCTACTAAACATTCAGCCAAAGCTTCCTCTGCTCACTGGGGATGGTATTTGTGCAAGCAGAGTGCTGAAGTTTCCAGGAGAATCTTGCTCCTGGGATTTGAGATGAGGCCAGCCATGACACATGGAGGATAATTACCTGTTCCATGTGGGACTGAAAATGAGTTCTCTTTTTGATAACCTCAAGTTTTATTCTGCCACCAAACAGCTGTATTGCTTCAAGAAGGTTTTGCATGCATTTAATCAATAAGATAATTAATCTGTTTGTCTGAGTCTTTTAATTAAATGTCTACTTCTGAAAAATGGCTTCTGCCTCATAGTGGTTGTGCTTCTCTGATATTGCCCACTTGTGACCTTACATAGGAGTGCCCACCACTCTCTGGAGCTTGACTACGGTGCCCCCACCCCCACCCCAGACACAAGACATCCTTTGATGCCTTAATAAATCATATCTGTGGTGCTGTGTGCCTGTCACAGGAGCCCAACTTTGGTGGGCAGTTCAGAGTGGTTTACTAAGGAACAATGGAGATTGTTTGACAATGCCAGGGAATTCACGTGTCACACGTCAAATTTAGAGTAAATCCTCGTTCTTCATTGTGAGCAAATCCCCAAATGACAGTTTAGATGACCATTTACTGGCATTACTGTTTAAGGTTTATATATATCACGTAATTTTTTTTTAAAGTTGGAAGCAATTGTGTGATAAATGTTAACGACGGCACATGCGCCACGTCTCACCTCTGCTGTGTCCCTTCTTGCTTCCATCTTAGCAGATTCTGAGTCCTACTGTGTGTCCTCTTGGCTAATTCCAGCCAATCCCAAATGGCTCATCTCAAGTGACATTTCCCCTAGGAAAACTCTGACTCCCCCAGGCTGCCATAACACCATTACTTTTGATTGTTAACATTTATTCTGTTATAATTATTTAAAGTCCTGTACCCTCTAGAAAGACTTCCCTTAGGGCACACAGGAAGGGAAAACACTCGGGTTGGTCCTGAGTAATGAAAAGGAACTGGCACAGGAATATGCTTGGGACCACTGAGTGGTCATCACACTGTAATTCAGTTTAACGTTCTGGCAGGATTTGGGGACTCCAGTCCAAGCATCATGTGGTTACTCAATTTGGGGAAAAATAATGATAATAAATGAGCACTGAAGAAACTGGAAAGCTGTTATTAAAAGCTCTTCATTATCCCCATATTACTGTTTAAAAGCACTTTATGGTATACTCAGGAAAAATATACAGCTCAGATCACAAACAAGCCACTGGAACAAAATCCCTAGGTGACTCCAGCCCAGTGGAAGGGCTGGCTGTTAGAGTTAGGGGAACTCTGGACTTTGGACCCACGCTACGTGGGTTCAAGTCCCAGTGCTGCTCCTTACTGTGTTCCCTTGGGGAAGTTATCAAATCATAATGAGCCTCGATTTCCATATCAGCAAGATGGGAAGCACCATATTTATCTCATAAGATTGTTTGGAAGGTATCGAGTAAAGTGCCTGGTATGCAGTAAGCAATTGGTAAATGGATGCTATAGTATTCATTAGGAAGAGAACATTTATTATTATTGTTAATGACAAAGTTGTTTGGCCAAGGAAACCAGGCCAACAGCAGACTGAGGTCACATAACACATTTTGTTACCTCCTCCTAGAAGTCTTTCCCCATTAGCCTTTCTATCTACTCTGCAATGGATAGTGAGGCTTTCCTATTAATGAGGCGCTTTGCACTAGGACAAAGAAAAAGAGAAAGCTTTTGAGGCTCTCTAGAACTAATAGGGTAGCCTTGGGCACATTTGGTGACAGATGAATAGGACATTGATGAAAGGTCCGTGACCTTCTCGCAGTGACTAGAGGGACCCGTGGCTAATTTGGTCTTGGTGGAGTAAGAGTGGGTGAAGATCATGGCTGGGGAGTGACTCATGAAGAACTCACCTGGAATCAGAGACCCTTTGAGAACTGGTTGCCAAAGAGATGGCATACGTAAAATGTTAAAAGTTTAGGTATCTAGATCTGTTTTCGCCAAAATGTTTTCTATAAAACGATTGTCTGACAAAATACCCATGAAAGGAGATTCCATGGGTAAATAAATTTGGGACATGCTACCACTCCTTCTTGGAATTCACATGGAATTAGCTCGGTAGACGATGTGTAAGCAAATGGGCATGGCTGTGCTCCAATAAAAGTTTGTTTACAGAAACAGATGATAAGCTGGATTTGGCATAAGGGCTGCGGTCTGCTGACCCTTGGTTTAGACTAACTACATTAAAGCATTTCCTTTGATTGGCTTGTCCACTCCAGGTGGAGATATTTGGTACTAACGCACAATGGTTCTCTCCAAAAGATGTAAGGCTGTAAGGTGTTTCTTTCAGAAGTCCCTCAATCTGTCAGGAAGTACAGTCAGAAGGGCTGAATCCACGGTGAATCAGCATCAGGAAAAGAAACGTCACTATACTCAGGACACTCTTCACGAATGCACAGATCTGAGTCACCCAGGACAATCACCTCAGGGGCCTGCAGGGTATACTCACAGCTTTCCAGCTGCAACTTGCATGTCTGTGTGTCCATGGGGTATTTGGACAGATCCATGTTACACGCAACAGTCGTCGTGATTCTAAGAAAGGAAAAATGGATTCAAAAAGAGTGTTATGAGGAATCTATAGAAAGGATATTTTCCCGTCCAACCGCCACTCAAGAGGACTTTGCCTTGAACTCTCACAGTGAACATGTGGCTTGGAACCTGCATCCAAAGCACCCTTGAGGTTTTCTGCGCTAAACAATGCTTGTAAGGCTCTGTTAAAACCGGGTGCAGAGTGGAGAAAGTCAGAATTCTGGCAATTCAGAGGCAAAACTTCTAACAACATCACAGAACAGACTCACTTTTGGGCTTGTTTGAGACGCTTTGCATCCACTTTTAAAACTTAATCTTCATGGCAGACCTGTGTGGGGCTAGAACAGTGCTCACTGTCACTATCATCACCATTTGGCAGCAGACTTAGGGGCTTGCTTGGGCTCACATGGCTCTGAGTGGCAGAGCTGGGACCAGAGTCCCGGTCTGTTGGCTGTGCTGTTCCCACAAGGCCTGCCTACTGCCCGGGATGAGGGCGCAGAGCAAGTGGAGACACCAGGCACTGCAGCTCATGGGGCTTAGTGCTGAGAGATGTTCAATTAAAGGTCAGTCAAGGCCAGGTGAGGCGGCTCATGCCTGTTATCCTAGCACTCTGGGAGGCTGAGGTCGAAGGATTGCTTGAGGTCAGGAGTTCGAGACCAGCCTGAGCAAGAGCGAGAACATTTCTACAAAAAATAGAAAAATTAGCCAGGAGTGGTGGTGTGCCCGTAGTCCCAGCTACCCGGGAGGCTGAGGCAGGAGAATCGCTTGAGCCCAGGGGTTTGGGGTTGCAGTGAGCTATGATGATGCCACTGCACTCTAGCCTAGGTGACAGAGCAAGGCTCTGTGTCAAAAAAAAAGAAAAAAAATGTCAGCGAAACCCTCACAGAGGAGATTTTCATCGACAGGCTTTTATCTTCCTTTTTCTTCAGTGTCGCACATTTTTATTAAGCACCCTTATTTATTCAGCACTGTGCTAGGCGCTTGGGGTAAGTGGAGGCGATTACGGCATGGTGCACACCTCGAGGAAACTCACAGTCCTTTAAGGGAGACCGAGAATAAGGACAGCTGTTGTTTACAAATGCTTACTATGAGCCCGTCCCTGAGCTGAGTGCTTTGCGGGCATTAATGCATTACCCTTCGAACAGCCCTACCAGGTAGGAAATATTTACATTCTCATTTTGCTGCTGCTGAAACTGAGGCCCAGGGAGTCAAGTAAGACCTAAGACCACAGAGCTGCTAAGGAACAGAGCAGGGACGTGCACCCAAATCTGTGTGACTCCAGAGCCAGGCTATTAAACCATCACCCGTTGTTTGTAATCTTCACACAAGACTGGCTGTGGTACATGCCATGACACAGACAGAAGCACATGCACACACACACGCACGCACGTGCACGCACACACAGACACACAGGAGCATTAGGTTTGCACAGTCCTTGTACAGACAGGGATGAGTCCTCTGCCTGTGAGCTGCCTCATGCGACACCCAGGGAGCACCTTTCCTGTTCCAGCCAACCAGAGGCTCCACGAACGATTGGGTGGAAGGAAATTTCAGTCTCAGGGATTTGGGAAGAGGGCAGAGGGGAGCCCATGGCTACAGGTGCCAGATGCTTTGGGGAGCTGCATCTTCCTTTTCTGTCCAAACATGGCTCAGACCGCAGAGATGCGTTCTGGAGCTACCCCAGCTCCACTGAGCCCCATGCAGGGGGGTTCCTCGCACGCACCTCTCTGTTTGTTCCTGCAGTTGCCCTTACTTCTTCCCTCGCTAACTTCCCTTCACCCTTTAAGACTCAGCTTGGAATCCTGTGAAAGCATCCTCTTGCGTTACCTCCAAACCAATAACCTGCTCCCCAACCTGGGTCCCAGCACGCGGGACTTCCTCTGTCTCCACATCCATGTCACTAAGGCGATGTTTCATTCAGCTCTGTGTCCTTGGTGTCTGTAGGGACCGTCCCTGGCCAAAATTGGCTTAAGCCCAGAGTCAGCGAAACTGGGTGTGCTCTCCTTGGCGCCAGAGGTCAATAGGCCCGGGCACGGCCTGTTGACCAAACAGAACTATTCCTCATGACAGATAGCTTTATGACAGATAACCAAGCGCCTGAGGTCTTGCAATCAAGCCAAGGCATCTCATTGTCCTGCATACGGTAATGAGATAAAGAAGTTAAGATGCAAACGTCTGCTTCCCTTAAGCAATCATCTGGAAGGAATGAAAATGTATTTTCCTCAGGGTGCCCAAGGTAGTCACGTGCCAGGAAGTAGCTGCCGGACAGAGAAAAGTATAAGAATAAAGTGACTGGTACAAATCGGGTACTGCAGGCTTGTACGTCTTGTACGTCTTGTACGTCTTGTGTGTGTCTGTGTGTTTCTTTCTGTGTGCATCCCCCGTTCTGCAATCTGGGCTGCGACAGTGTCCAGCACAGGGCTGGCACAGGGAGGCATTCTGTAGGTGCTTAGCGAGCCTGACTAAACTGAGGGAGGGCCCTGCTGTTACGGGACAAGGATCTAGGAAGGCAGGAGCATGAGAAGCATGGGACCTCAGAGAGGCCGTTTCAGTGCTTTCCAGAAAACCCAAGATGCATCTGTGCCTTTTCATCCAGCCGCTTCCCCTCACCCCTGAGGTCGCAGGTGCCTGCTTACCTGAGGGCATACAGGACGGTGCCGTTGGAGAAGAGGCGAATGAGCCTGTTTCCCACAGTGACTTCATGGAGGAAGGACTTCTTGGACTCCACGATGTAAGTGTCTGGCACCCAGAGGAACTCCACGAGGCGAGCATCCAGCGTGAAGCTCTTGTTGCCTTCGAACACCAGCCGCTGGTCCGTCCAGCGCTGTCGGAGGTATATGGTGGCCGTGTAGTCCTGAGGTGGAGGCAGGGGATGGAAAGGGATGGGGCGGCCAGACAAACCCCCAAAGCAGAAGAAAAGTAGTCAAGTTTTACTCCCTTCCCATCTCCACTTAGATCAAGTGTGCATAGACATGGGTGAATAAAGTTATGTCTTAGAGTAGTGACACAAGGTAGTAAGAGAACAAACTACTTTATTTATTCTGGAAAATACCTCCCACTGCCATGTTCAGGGCCTTAACTTACTCGGCACACAAGCTCGCGTTGCCCTAGATCAAAAGCCTTGCCAAGCTGTGGAACTGTTTGGTGGGCTGAGTGCTTAGGGTTGCCCAGGACTTATGCAGAACGCATCCTGGGCCCTCTTGGCAAACCAGCTTTAGTCTGCCCTTGTCTTTAATGTGTTCTCTTGAGTGACAGCATGATTGAAAGCCATCACTTGATCATCAGTTTTCATCAGCTTGTCTCCCTCTCTGTGAAGGACCCTGCATACCGGACGTGCCTACTACATTTTTATTCTTTTCCTCAATTCTTATCCCTCACCAATGCACCCACTCCGTTCCCAGGTTTTTCTCTTCCTGGCCTTTGATTCCATCTTCTTCCTGGTAGTGAGAACATCTGTTCTATTAATACAAGAATCTCCACTATCTTGAATTTGGGGGTATGTCTCTAGCTTTTCCATTCCAAATGGAGGAGGAGTATAAGTCTTTCTTTTCTGTTTTTGGGTAGCTAGAAAGTGTCCCCCTGTTGAACACAGAGAGAGGGATTCCTTCGATGGAACAACGAGGGGCGACACTTACCATGTTACTCTCTGAAATGCTAGAAATGCTTGCAATGTCCAGAGTCAGTGCTATCTGAACTGGTTCTCCTAAGAATGAAGAAAGAATTGGAAAGGCATGGAAACACAAACATAAGGTTTCCTAATACTACACTCATACATTAAAAAAAGATTAAAAATTACAAAAGTAATACTTGCTTGTTAGAAAAATTTAAACAGTCTAGAGGTATAAAAAGTAAAAAGTTAATTTCTATCTTCCCCCTCTCAGGAGTGACCATTGTGTATAGTGCACCCCGCTTTTGTATGAAAATACGCACAAATATATAGTTATCTTAATACATAAGCGAGACCACACTGTTTAACACATTGACTGCCACACTAGAAAAAGATTTTTTTCCCTGGGGCCACAGTGTTTTATTATGAAAATAGAATAAAAACTTTGACAACAAAAGAATCCTTTCTAATATAATGAAAAATTCATTATTTTTATTGTTTTCTGTGTGTGAGTTATAGGCAATTAAATTGTCAACATTTGTTGTAACAATACGAACATCAACAAGTAAGATTTTCATGAACCAACTGCAGTTACAGGTGCTTCATGAGGCTTACGGTGTGAGTTAAATACAACTCACAAGGCAGTTAATGGGTTAATTAGTGCATATTTTAAAGAACATAGTGGTGAGATATTTTCTACTTCTTCCGTGGAGAGTTTTTCCTATGGTGCTTGCATTTATTAATAGATCTGTAACAGAGATTTGGTAATCTGATTGTGCAGATGTCTTTTTTGCCCCCTTGATAAGTAAATTTACCACAAGATGGCATTCAAGACTGCTCACAGCTGAGCTTTTGCTGATCTCCTGACACTTTCCTCCCCTTCCTTTACTCTCCTGGAACCCTAAACTATTTAGAATTCTGGAACCTTGCCCACTTGGTCCTGTGTGCAGACTGTTAGGTCTCAGTCCCGGAGTCTCAGCAGCCGGATTGAACTTCAGCAAGAGCCAGTCTTGGCTCTAGAGACCAAGGTGTCAGAGCCAGGTTTGCAGGAGCCAGGTTTGCAGGAGCCAGGCCAGGCCAGGCAGCTTACTCCTCCTTAGACGGGAATGTGGAAGGAAGGGCCTAGACGCCAGCTCTGTTACATCCCCATTCTGTGATCTGAGAAAGTTACCGAATCTTCAAAAGCTGCAGTTTTCTCACCTGCAAGTGGGGATGGTACTAATGACATGCTGGGGTCACGGAGAGGGTTGAAGGAGATTAGGTGTGTGATGGTGTCTTTGTAAAGTGGGGGCAAGAGGGAATGTACAGGAAGTGCCTGCCCAGCACTTCTTTATGGACCAGAAGTTGCTCATAAATGGTTCTCTCTACAAAGCTCCCAGCAGGATGGCCGTCTGTCACATAATAAATAATAGGTGCTCAAAAAAATGGCATTTCCCTTCCCCTCTCCTTTTCATAATCCTAGCTGATTTTGGAAAAGGAACAACTTTGTTCACCAGGTTAATAGATGCAATCTCATTCACTTGCAAACATAACCCCTGGTGGGTGCCACAGGGGACTGTGACTATGCATTAACCAGGAGGGAGAGAGGTGGATTTCAAAAGAAGCTTAAAAACATATAATCAGTAGGAATCCGGCAAAGTCACTTGATTATTAATTTAAGAAAACCAAGCCATTGAATGTAGGTAGGAACTAGGAAATGGAGTTTTGGAGCAAATGCAATTAAAAAATAATTCAGTGTTAATACTTGGTGGAAAAGGGGGAGATCTTTGAGGGCAGGCCCTGAAAGGTGCCGAAGGGGTGTGGTTGCTAAGTGGCTCTCTGCCCCTCCAGGCAGGAAGGTGCAGCTCAAGAAGAGGAGCTTGGAGTCAGAGAGGGACGTTTGAATCTCACACTGGTCACTTAACAGCCTTGTGACCTTGAGCAAATTGCTAAGCCTCTCTGTGCTGTGGTTTCTCACCTGCAAAATAGAGTTACTGGTGCTGCTATGGTTTGAATGTTTGTTCCCTTCCAAATTCAAGTTGATATTTAATTACCATTGTAATAGTATTAAGGTGAGACCATTACGAGGTGGTTAGGCCACGAGGGTTCCACCCTTATGGCTGGGATTGATGGGCAGGTTCGGGCCCCTCTTGCCCTCTCTCTTGTTCTCATGCCTCCACCACGTGGTGATGCAGCAGGAAGGCCCTCTCCAGATGCTGCCACCTTGATACTGGACGTCTCAGCCTCCAGAACTGTGAGCCAATAAATTCCTGTTCCGTATAAATTACCCAGTCTCCAGTATTCTGTTATAGCAGCACAAACAGCCCAAGACATCGGGGTTGGGTTGGGAAGGTCACAGTACCTATTTAAGTGCTATCAGTCAGTGCTAGCTGCCCTCCCTGAAGAATGTAGGGAATGGGAAACACGCGAGCTCCAGTCCTGTTGTGGTTTTTGTTTAGTTTATTTCTACATAGTTCAGTCCAGGCCTCGCCTCAGTTGGCTTTTTTTATGGACGGGAGCTTGCTCTTCTCCTTGGCTATGAAAGCAAGCTGTGCCACCAGAGGGCAGCTTTCTTCCAGGAAAGAGGTCAAAGCCAGTTCCTGGGTGGTGCTCACTACTGCCTGCTCGCAAACCTTTGCGCTGTCCAGCTCAGCTCCTGAAAAATCCTACAGAGGTCTTGTCTCGTAAGGACATCAGGGTCCGAGAATCTGAGTGCACAGACATTACGGAGAGCAATGGCTACTGCCTGGGCCTCCAGGCTGCCATGCAAGTATAGGCTCCCTAGGAGGCAAAGTGCCTAAAGGCATAAAACAGGGGGTGGAGGGTTGTACCTTCCTCCCTTTTTGACTGAGGGCCCTGTGCCCCATTTTCACCCCAGGTGGGACTGGGCCTCACATCTCTGTTCTCAGACTGAGCTCCTTGCCCCAGCGCCCTGCAAACACCAGCCTGCTGTTGAGTGGACCTGACCAAGGTGTGCAGACTCACATGCTTGTCATTAGAGTTCAAAAGGGCCTGGGAAAACCAGGGGACGGTGGAGCCTCTATAGGTTCCTTGACACAGGATCTCAAACCCTGATTATGTGGCCGTGCAAAGGCATCTCTCGGATCTCCAGCTGAGGGAGTATAATCGACTGAGGGCCCTGACTACTGTGCTTTGGAATCTGTCACCTTGCTCTGAGGCCATGCTTCCCATGGACTTCAGCTGATACAGTGGGGACACTAAGGCAGGCCTTTTCCTTGGAGTCACAGAGATGGGACTCCTCTGATGTCAACTTTGGCTCGAGGTCTCCCTGATGGCCTTTCTAAACAGCGCTGCCATCTAAGACACTTCCAGCTGGCCTTTTCTCCTTCCCCCTCTCCTTCCCACAGGGTCCGACTTGCCCTGTGGTCTGACAGCTCCCCCAGCTTCCCTCTCCTCTTGCCCCATTTTCCCTGCTAGACATTCTCCCACCAAGTATCTTGAAGATGTTATCCCCCCTTGCTGTCTGCTCCTCGGAGGATCTGGACTAACACGCTAACCCTAGACCTGACCAGAGAGTTTTATCACCTGAAGGGAGGAGCAGGAAGGGAAAAGGATTGAAATGGATTGGGCCCTGTCCATATGGCAGGCACTATGCTTCAGGCTTACACACTCCACTGCATTCAGTCCTCCCTGCAAGATAGATGGGATGTCCCCATTTTACAGAAAGGGAAACTGAGGCTCAGAAAGCTAAGGTACTTGCCAAAGCAGCAGAATTAGGAGCCAAACTCAGGCTTGTTCAACTCCAAGGCTCTTCCTACTACTTTCTGCTATGAGGAGGTGTGTCATTGTTCTCATTCTCTCCCTCCTTGCCTAATTCTTTCAGCAAATATTAGTCAACAACTTGTTATATGTCAAGTATTGAGCTTCTACTGGGGTTAGTTAGTGAGGTAACGAAGCAAGACTCCTCCAAGGGTTTGCAGCCTAGAGCTGGGACAGACATAAAACCGGTTACAGTATACCAGATTAATGGCTATGATTTGAAGGTATGTCTAAAATAAAGTGTCAAGAAAGGGGATGGGGCCTGGAGGACTCCGGGAAGGCGTCTCAGAGGAAGGAGCCTTTGCACTGAGACATGAAGGAAAAGTGGCATTTTTCCAGGGAGTCAAGTTGGAAGAAGCAATCCCAGGCAGATAAACAGCCTCCATAAAGGGCCAGGGGCCTGGGAGGCCAAGAATGTCAGGACGCATTTGGGCACACCGTGGAGCATCGTAGGAGGAGGAAGTCAGGGTAGAGGGGAGGATGAGAACGGCCGCCAGAGGCTGGGTGGGGAAGGGCCCGGTGTGCCCGGACTCCGTGTGAGGTTGCTGGGGCACGTGTGGGTGCTCTGGGTTGTCTAGGTGGCAGTGTGAGGAGTTAGCTGAGAAGGGGCAGGCTGGAGGCAGGAAGACCAGGTGGGGTAGTCCTGGTGGCATACGGTGAGTTCCTTGAATAATGGCACCGGAAGTGGGGGCAGAAGAAAGACAGCGTGTGAGTGGTTGTTAGGAGGCTCTTGCAACCTCATCAGTGGGAGAGAGTATTTCTTTATCTCGCAGGTGGAGAGGCAAAGTGCTTTCTTCAAGATAGTATGAAAAGTCTTTAGTAGCCGTCCTCATCCATCATTGCCAATTCTTAAATAGGCTGCAGATCAGAGAATGGAGTCAACTAAAACCTCCCGAAACCCTCCACCGCAGACTGTCTCTGCTCCTGTCCCTTCGAATTCATGTCTTGAACACAAAGGATAACCTACCGCCAAAATTGGGCCTGAGAAACTTGTTATATCCTGCTGTAAGGTTCTCAAAGCCAGGCAGGGAAAGCTTGTCACTTCCGTTGACCTCGATGTTAAACTGACGCCCCTGGATACACATCCTGGAAAACAACATGAGTTTTGTTGCACATGTTTGATTATGTGTGAATGAACATTTATGCACATAAACTTGAGCTTGTGTTTACATGTGTGTGTTGTGCGCGTGGACCAGCAGTGACTTTTCTAAAGAGAAGTCTCTTAATTTTCAGCTGTTGAGTTAGCATCTCCATTTCATGACCCATTTGCCATAGATTAAAACGTGGCGATAATTTGGGAACCTTCCAAGTATCTTCTCAAAAAGCACATGGCTTCCTCCTTCTATGACCATTTTGGAAATTTCTCTTCTCTAACTAGAATAACTAGTAGGAAGTTTCATAATCCCAGTGCTCCAGGGAAGTGAATGGTCTGGGTGTTGCCTTGCTGTAGGTAAGTAGGAAGAGCTGCCATCCCCCCACACCCGACCAAATGCCTATACACAAAGCTACTCAGACCAAGGCCATCCTGGGGTAGCAAAGCTCACCTTTGAGTGAAGAGATACAGGCACAGGAAGGTCAAATGGGGACTGTAGTTCATGTTGGGTCGCTGTTCACTCAGAGGGGTTGAAGTAGGAATCACCTGGGGAAACAGGGAACAGGGTGAGCAGCAACCGATCCAACAGGCTCACCTGCTCTCAACCCGGCCCCTTGCTCCTGTGGGTGGTGGGCACCCCGTTTTCTCAGCATGCACGGGGAGCAGCCTCTCTCCACAACTTTTGTTTATAGCTCCTGCTCCCTGCGGTCCCTCCAGGAATGGCTTCATTTTGGAGGATTATGTTTTAAATCCACTCTAAAGAAGGGCTGAGAGCTGAGTTTAGAAAGTGGCTTGCCAGCACCAGAAATGCAGCCGGTCTATCCTGGGAGCCCCAAGACTGTCCTTACCCTGTCCTTGTTCTGCCTTTGCCAGGATGGACACCCCCAACTCTACACTCACCCTGACCGAGCCAGACGTTCTCTTATTTATCCCAGGGTCTAGGCTTGTGAGGCCTGCTGCATAGACAGGAAATAAAAACCTTCTGAGAACCTTCCATGGACCAGGTAATGAAGGGGCTGCCTGCTGCTCCCCCGCCTGCTCAGGACTCTCTTCCCTCAGAAGTGGCTGGGGCCTGTGCCTTAGCCAGCCCCAGGGCACCTGCTGCTCTCTCCACCTCCCAGACCTGCTCCCTGGGAGCCCAAAGAAGCCGTTCAGTTCAGGGGCTGCGCTGTAGGAAGCATGGCCCAGGGACTGGCCTCCTTCGGTTTGGGAGCTGCTGTCAGACGACCCTCTGAGAGAGTGGGAGGCAGACAGGCAGGCCAGCCTGTGTCTGTCATGCCGTGACAGCAGAATGGGGGTTCTCAGGTTCAGGCCTCATTCCCAGGCAACCCCGGTGAGGATCATCCCCTTCCGTGTGGTAACCTTGTGAACCAGGCCACTTTCTAGAATCTAGCCATTCTAGAGCTCCGGGTGTGATTCAGCCATTCATTAATATTACTTTACTTACAAACCCATATGTGTTCATTGTAGAAATGAAAACAAGACAGAAATGTACAAAATTAAAAGTGTAGGTCCCAATAATATGCCAATGTATGTGCATCAGTTATAACAACTGTGGCACCCTGCTGTGTGTGGTGTTGATGGTAGGGCAGGCCGTATGTGTGTGGGGGGCTCAATTTTGCTGTGAACCTAAAACTCGAAAAATAGTCTATTTAATAAAATAAAAACAAAACAAAGAAAGTGTAAGTCCCTCCCTCATTTCCTCTCTCTAGTCTCATACTTCAGAGATAACCACTGTTAACAGTTTTTTTACTCACACATACACGTATATATTTATATACATATATATTTCTGCATGGAGAAAAAATTAAAAAGCAAAATTGGGGCAATAGCATCCACTTTTGGGCTATTAACTTTTTTTCCACTTGATTAACATAGCAAACATTTATTCACTACTTAATACATGCTTACACTTAACCAAGCATACCTAGAATCCTCCCAACTCTATGAAGTATCTACCACCATTCTCCTCATTTTACAGATAAGAAAGCTGAAGCTTAGAGAGGATAAATAATGTCCCCAAGATCATGTAGCAAGTGAGGGGCAGGATTGAATCCAAGCAAGCTGACCCAAGAGTTTTCATCATTGCACCATGAAACATGCTCTTTCTCAATATCAATGATGCCATCCGTGCCAGTTCATTGTTTCTAATGGCTACAAGGTAGCTCCTGAAATGAATGCACCATTTATATAATACATGTCCCACTAAGAATGCTAAGTTATAATCAGGAATGAACATCTTTGCACATAGGTAAGCTCTTATAACTCGGCTCTCTGTCATGTTAGCTCTTTCCTTCTCTCTCATCAAAATACCAGCTATAAAATCAACATTATCAATCTAGAAAAATCAAATTCACATTCTTCCATTGGCCCATCTCCCCAACCTCTGTCCTCGCCTCGTCCCAGCATCGAGTTTAAGAGGGTCCATGGAGGGGCTCCCCTGCCCTCCATCCCTTCATTCAATTTTTCAAAGGCTTTTGAGCTCCTCCTTTGAACTAGACACACATGAGACACAATGAGAGCTCCCTTCTACTAGGGGAGAGAGATGTGTGAGTGGTGATTGGTGTTCCCTATAACCATCCCATAATAGGAGCAGAGGCAAGAGGATATTTAGTATGCAAAGGAAGTGAGTGGTCAGCTCCATCGGGGGAGGATGGGACAGTGCCAGGATCAATGTCACAGAGAAGGTCATTTGATTCTTGAAGAGTGCGCTGCATTTGCCAGGTGGACAAAGGAGGGGGAGCCCTCCGGATGTTGGACAAAGATGTGGAGGATCACCCACGGCCGCTCTCCTACCCACTTATACTCAGCCCCTTTCCCCAGCCCTTGGCTATACAGACTTCTTCCTAGTCCGGCCTGAATTATCATGGGTCTCATTTTAGCATATTCCTCCATTCTTACTCCTCCTACAGGAAGCTGCCCTTGATCAAGTTGGGGAACCATCTAGTCTTCAGATCCAAGATTCCTATTGAATGATGTTTTCCCTGTGGCTGACCCTCTGCTAGGAAAAGGGAAACAGTGTCCCTGGGCCTCTGAACCTCCTATAAGGAGTCTCCCCATGCTCTGGCAGCTTTGCCCAGGTTAGAGCCAAAAATGTGATCCCATCCTACCCTGCTTGCTTGGTTAGGTTGCTGAATGTGTCTCATTTTATTATGGAAGAAGAGGGAAGCTGGAAAAGCCTTCTAAATGCCTTCAAGGTGCTAGATGCCTTGTTTGGTGTTTAATCTCATTTAATTCTCTTGGCCGTGGGGCCCAGTGGGTGCTAATTTTTAGATTTGAATCTCAGATTTGTGAAGGGATTTGGCTGAGGTCACACAGCAATTGAGTGGCCATGATTCGAATCTGTTTTCCAACTTCTCTGTGCTTTCCAAGTTTTTCACACTGAATCTAGGGAGAGAGCCTCCAGCCCCCCATGCTGAATGGGATTCCATTTGATGCTGGTCCTTCTTACACCAAACCCATCTCTGGGATGCAGTGTTGCATCCACAGACGTCCCAAGTAATAAGAGCCTCTGGTGCCGCCACCGCACGTGGCAGAGGAGCCAATCATTAAGTGGCTATTTATGATCGGCCGGCCTGAATGGAGGCTTAGACCACCAGTTCTGATACAGATGCTGGGAATGGCATTTAGCATAGAGGTGCACCGAGCCACCAGAGGACAGTGTCCTGAGGGTTGTTGCTCCAGCTGCAACACAGATTCTGGGTAGAACCATCCAGCCTTCTGCATCTGCTGGAACATAGTACTCAGGAGGTCCTGGGAGGCTCCTGAGCAGGGGCAATCTATGCACTTGTCCTCCCTGAGGGCGCCTCTGGTCAAACTCCTGCCTTTACTTGTAGAGGAGAGCTTGAGCTTTGGATTCAGATACACCTGAATCATTTAACCCCTCAGAGCCTCAGTTTTCCCATCTGAAAAATGGGAATAGGTAACATTCAGTAAATAGTTTTCATTCTCTGCCTTCCACGTCTCCCATGGGGAACCCAGTGATCCCACTATGACTAAGAGAGCCCAAAACTCAAGCTCTTTCTAATGTACCCCAAGCTGCCACCCAGAGTGCGAGCTGACTGGTACCACCTGAGGAAGGACAGGACATTAGGGTCACATAGGTAGCTGAGGGCACCTTTTTCTGGACTGGGTCTGAGAAGCAGAGGTGATTCCAATATGCCTGAGTCTTTACTCCCATTTCCAGTATTTCCATCACATAAATACTGTGAAGCCCAACATGACAACTCCAGGCACGGTGTCCCTGTCCTCAGTCACTCCAGCACAGATAGAATCATCTGCTGGGAAGCAGGAGTGGAGCCTGAATTAGGTTGGGGCGAGGAAAGGCATTATTGCCATGGGTCCTCCTTAAGAAAGTCACGGAAGGTAAGGTGGCGCGTGGTGTGCCCTGTGTCCGCTGGCCTTGGCTGGCTGGCAGCACGGGGGTGAACACCCGTGGCTCTAGTGTCAGCCAGAGGGGCTCTAATCTTGGCTCTGCTGCTTGCTCTGAGATGGTGTTACCCGACACAAATTTGGTGCTTGGCAATTTCCAGGCCCTGCCCCCTCCCCCAGTCCCTCCTCCAGTTCCAGCAGGGCTTGTGTTCGGATCTCCTTTCCTCCCCTCCTTCCAAGCACCAAGAGGGGCCGCAATTCCCTTACCAGGCAGCTGTCCAGACTCTGTTAGGGCAAGTCCTGTGGGCCTTCAGGCAGGACTTTCAGGCAGGGCACGGTCTTCTGGGTCCCCGGGGTTCTCCCCATCCTCAGCCCTGACTCCTCGGATGTGGGCACCCAGCCACTCTCGGGAGGAGTGGCGCTCTCTCTGGGGAGGATTGAGCTGCTCAACCTGCTGGGCAGAAATGGGTGTGGGCGGAGCCTCTCACAGCCCCTCCCTCGGTGGGGCTCTGACTGGTCCTGGGTGTTGTGGGAACCATCCAGTTCTGCTGTGGCTACTGGCTGCCGGGGGTTTGTGTCTTAGCCATGCCCCTGGCCCCCAGCCAGGAAATACTCCCGAGATCAAAGACCCATGAGAGTCAGGTAAAGTGAGTGACCCCCCCCCAACTATGTTTAGCCCTGATTGTGGAGGACACCTGCTGTCCTGGTGTGATGGGGTGGGAGTTAGCAGTATGACCTTGGGCAAGACACTTCGCCTCTGTCGTCCTCAGCTTCCCATCCTTAAAATGAGAACTTGACCATTCTCTGATTTCTGGTTGTGCATTTTAAGAGCTTTTTTGGAATCAGCAGAAAGCCTATTCTACACAATAAAAGAGACTTTCGTATCCCAGGACCTAGGGCTTTCCAGACTGGGAAGTTTCAAAAAGACACATAGAGGCCAAGAGAATGGAGGGTAGAAGCTCAGCAGGCAACCCAGGAAGCGGCGGGAGAAACGTGGCTGCATTTCTCCATCTCGCCTCCTGCCCCCATCCTAGTCCTCACACAGAGGACGCTCACTTCCTGCACGGTCCCTTTAGGGGCATCCCAGACATGGAGGCCCTCTTTCTCCATGGCCAACTGAACCTCCTAACAGAAGAGCTTTGACGATGTTGACTGAGCCCTGAATCTTCCCCCTCACAAGAGCCAGGAACCCCCAAAATCACTCTCCGATCCAGCCCCAGAGGGAGGCACAGTGACTTCCTTGGCGGCTTGGCCTTGCACCCTGGAGAGCTAGGAGCCTCGAGGGAGTCAGAGGGAGGGGCAGGGAGGGAGCAGATGCCCAGAGACACCTCATTCCCTCTTGACCATGGCCGAGCTCCTTCCAGACCCCTGCCAGTCCTGGAGGGGGAGAGGGGAGATGCGGAGAGAGGCAGGAGGACCAGCGAACGTTGCTGCAGGCAGGGGAGGGCCTCGGTGTACAACGTACCGCAGGTGTCTTTGGCCCCAAACCAACTTCCTTAGTGCCCCTCTGGAGCCCGGCCAGCCTCGAAAATCTTTCTGAGCTGGTTGGTAGGGAGCGGGCATGCGAAGAGAAGGCACTTCCTTTCCTCCTGAGCGGCCCAGTCTCACCTGGGAACCCTGCAGGCGGCTGGAACAGGAGTGGCTGAGGAGCCGGTTTCAGCTTCTCAATAAACAGTGGTTTGGGGCTTTTCTTAGTATTTCTAAGATGTTGTCACGCAGAACAAAGGCTCAAGAATAACAAAGGCAATTCAGGGCTGGGAGTTGGGGTGGGATGGGGGAGGACTGTGACTCAGGAACAGTGAGACTCAGTTGAGAGAGCAGGGGATGGTTATCTGCACGGCTCTGGGCAAGTTGCTTAACCTCTCTGGATCGCGGGTTCTTATCTGGCCAGTGGGCATGATGAGTTCTCAGATCAACGGATAAACGGAAGAAATGTCCAGATTAGGGAGTTTCCACGGATACCAGCTTCTTCTCCAGTGATCCCTGGCGTTCTTGCTCCTTAGCTCCAGAACCTCCAGCAACCTCTGCACCATCCAGGTCACTTCGTTTCCAAGTGTGACCTCTAGTGTCGGGATACCTGAGGTCAGCGGTATTTCAGGATGTTCAGCTATGCAGACATCCCGCCCACAGTGTGCTCATCTCGGTATCCACCTCCCACTCCACATGGCTAGACACCCTCCTAGAATGCGTCCCAGAAAAACAAGGGCCTGAGTGAGTCTGTACGTCTTGCCTTGTACCTCAATCGTGAAGCATCCAGGGTAATAATAAGTCACAATAATGCCGTTCATTTATATAGTGCTTTGCAGTTTTCAGAGCCTTTACTGTGTGTGGCCTTGTCTTACTTGAGTGGCGTAATAATCCTGTGAAGCAAGTGGGGTTTGGTTCTTTGTTGTTATTTTGCAGATGAAGAAGCTCTGCTGGAGTCACCCAGATCCTAAGTGGTGGAGCCAGCATGGACCAGAACCAGGTCTTAGGATTGTGAGTCAGGGGCTTGCTCCAAATGTGTATCCAATGATGGTGGGGAGGACAGAGGAACAGAGCTCAAGTAAAGCAGGGGACAGAGACAGCCTTTGATCTTCCCCTCACCTGGGAGGCTACAGTGGGATAAGATACTTTGCTCCTGCACTTCTCAGGAAAGGCTGCCTGGCAGCCCCGGGTAGCCCACCTGACCTGCAATCCAGCTGGAAACCCTCGGACAACCTCAACCCTCTTATTTTCCATCTTCCCCCCTCAATACCAGATTGACCTCCACTGCTGATACCTTCTCATTCTGTCTTCTCATTCTGTCCTGCAATGGCTGGCTCAGCTTCTCCTCACCTTGGAAACTGGGGTTTCCAAAAAGAGGCACGAACACAATAGGCTCTGGGCAAGATGAGCCTCTGGGTGTGGAGAGAAAATATTAGAACTTCTACAGCTTCACACAATGGGAAAGATGTACTAATATTTACTACGTGCATGGATACTGGGCACTCACTGGTCTGGTGGTCAGACTGTCCAAGGTCACTCACTGACAGGCTGCACCCCAAGAGCCTGATGATTGAACTGGGGCTTTCCAACGTGGGGGGCATGGCCCCCCAATCCTTTGCTTTCAGTGCAATTTGACCTTCTGCAGTTCACATGGGCTGGCTTAAATGGATTTATGTATTGTCTTCACTAAATTAGCCCTAAAGAAATGGACACATGGCTTAAGAAAAATAAAGAGTCCTGCAAAAAGAAACCACTGAGAGAAGATAACATTAATAATGCAAATAGCAAGGCAGTGGTAGCACAGACTCTTCCCTTATCCTAACCCAATTAAACACTTCCAAACAAAGAGTTTCAGTGTTTTGCTAAAAATATAAAAGTGCAAGTAACAAGTTTGCAGGAATGATTGATCAACATCAGAGAAGACTGAAATTTACTAAGAAATTGACTAGCTGAATTTAAACAAAGCCCTTTGCATAATGGGTAAGACTGAAATATTATTATTTTAGTAAGCACAGCCAATGCAGTACTTTTCCATTTGGACCTCTGCACCTTTAGTGAGGTATCTTTTTTCCAATTCTGAAAACTATTAGAACTGAGTATCAAAACAATTTGAACTTAAAACCGTACCTTCTGAACATTGTACTGCAAAAATGTTGATATGAAGATAATACAAACATGATGAAACATGTCAACCACATTGCACTCACTACAAATATTACTTTTCGCAATAATTTTTTAGCAAAAAGGGTGGTTTTGAAGGGTTAACAAAATAAAAGCTTACAAAGCGTTATTTCATCTTTATCTCATCCATGTAAATGCTTCTTTCCGCGTATATCTTATCTCACCTGCACACACTATATTAGGACATAAGACATGTACGTGGTTTCTAAGTAAATAAACGTACATATATTGAGAGCATAGGATCAAAAAAGTATGTGGACAGTTGAGCAAGGTTATTAGGGATTTCCTGACTGCTCTTTCTGTCCCCTCCTGTCCACCACATATCACCAGACTGATCTTCATTAAAATCCAGAGGGGATCAAGTCACTTGTCTGATTTCAGCTCTCCGTTGAGGTGTCTTCTCCTAGAAAGGGTGGCAGCCCTAATAGCTTTCAGGGCCTGGGTAGGTAATTTGATGTATGAGGAAGGCTGAGTGTAAGGAGTGGAGGGAACTGTGACAAACAAGAGAGTTCTTTGCCTAAAAACATTCCCATTCGAACAAATTTAAACCCCAGACAGGCAACAGAAAATACCGCTGTGGCCTGGATCCTGTTCGTGGGCTGGCAATTGTAAGCTCTGAGCAGGTCAAGGCTAACCTTGTTACCGTGGAAAACACTGTGCATCTCTCCCGAAAGGTCTCTTGCTGCTTCCTCCCAAACGCTTTTCAGGGTGTGGCCATTTCTGGTTTGTGCTGATCTTTGCCCTGTAATATTTCCTCTTTCCCGCCGAGTAAGTTTTAGTTAAAGCAAACCTGGCTGTGATGTTGTCTCCTCTGTCGAGCTTGTTCACTTCCCAGATAACTTTCCCTCCCTGTGCTGCTCTCACTGGTGCTCTTACTGGACGTCACTGAGCTCCACATCATGGGCCTGCCTATCTCCACCACCAAGCCGAGGGCTCCCTGAGGTCAGGTACCTTGTCTTATTAATTGGTGCAGCCCCAATACCAGGGTCAAATACTGGGTCTTCAAAAATTCAACGGCACCTGTGTGCCTGGGTAACAGTAGTCTATTGTGAGCTTCTTATATTTGCTTCTAATTTCTAATAGTGATAAACACATACCTTCTCCTCTCTGCAACTCGCCTCAGCTCCAAGACACAACCTTCCAGACTCTATATGCTTAAAGGATTAGAGGAAAAAGAAATGGCAGGCGGTGAAAACTTCTTTTGTGGCAATGTCTCTGCAGTGGAGACAAACCATGCATGTAAGGCTGTGGTTCCCAGACTGTGGTCTGCCCAGAGGTGCTTCTGTCAGAATCCCCAGGGGTACTTGTTAAAAATGCACATTCCTGGGCCTCTCCCCAGACCTATTGAATCAGAATCTGAAGAAGGGAGGCCTAGGAATCTGAATTTCAATGAGCTCCCCAAGTAATTCTTATTCATGCTAAAATTTGAGGACTACTGCTGTGAGGTAGAGCTCCCATTCCATTCACTCATTGATTCGGTGAAGAAATATTACTGAAGGCTGCTCATTCCACGCCAGGCACTGTGCTAAGTGCTGGTGGAATAATGCTGATTCAATCACTCCTGGTCCTTCCTTTGAAGGTTAAGACAGACTATTCCCAAGAAAAGAAAGCTACTTAACAACAAATTGCGATAAGAGCTCTGAAGGAAATAAACAAACATGGCCAGTTTAGATGGAGCGACTCAGGGATATTGCTTTGAGAAGTGACGTTCCTGGAGGATGGGAAGGAGTCAGCCATGTGTCAAGGAGGGCAGGGGAGGCAGGGTGGGG